CAAAGAATTAATACTAACGATATGGTTTGCATTTAGTTAAATCTGGTAATCTCTCAGATGAATATAATTGGAGTGTTTGTAATATTAAATTAACCGCTTTTTACTACATGCATATAAATATACCTACATATGGTACTCATACTAAAATATTTTTTATCACAATTTTTGTCAGTCTGTCTTTCTGTCTGTCTGTTTGTATTGGCTAATCTCCGGAATAGTTGGACCGATTTTAACAGAACTTTTACTGGCAGGTAGCTGATGTACTAAGGAGTTACATAGGCTACTTTTATTTTATACTTATACTTAAAATTCATATTCTACGCGCCCATTCTAACAGCTAATTAATTTCATGTAGTACCTAAGTACCTAGGTACATATTATGGAATGTGAATCTAAGTACTAGGAAATGCATCCAAAAAACAACTATAAATTAATTGTGATTACAGTTGATTTTAGAATAATTGGTATTGAATAGGTAGGCACCTCTAATCACGGTCATTTCATTTATTATTATTCATATGTGACAATGAATCTTCTGCTTTTGTGAATAATGTTTGTTTTTTCAAAAAATATAATACGTATTTGACGTTGAATGTTGGTAAATATAATAATATTTATGCCAATTACGTATATGTACATAATGTATATAGTATCTATATTACTATAACTAATACTAGGTACTACCCACGGCTTCGCTCGCATAGTTACATAAATAAAACAGCAGTCTTTATCACTCTCCAGCCGTTACGGAGCCGCGGAGGACTTAACGGGTTGCCGGGGCTCCGGCTCGAAGTGCAGGAGAAGGAACGGGGTTGTTTTTAGTCAGTAAGAGTCTGACACTCCCTCCCGCCTCACCCAGGCAGGAGAAGTCATTCGATGATTTTCTCCCTTAAAAAATATCACTCTCCAGTTTTCTAAATAACCCCAGACACAAAAATCTTACTCTAAAATAGATCTGTCGCGTTGAAAAAGGGTAAACAAAACAATAACAATGACTAGCTACTTCCGCGCAGTTCCACCCGCTCTGTTCGGCGCCTATTGATCGTAGCGTGATATTTTATAGCCTATAGCCTTCCTCGATAAATGGACTATGTAAAACAAAAATAATTTCTCAAATCGGACCAGCAGTTACTAAGGTTAACGCGTTCAAACAAACAAACAAACGAGCAGACATACTGCTCAGCTTTATACATATAATAAGTATAAGACACAGATATAATATTTCTGTGGTATAAGATAATAGTATAATATGATTCCTAGTCCCTAGCACAGAATGCCTTAAACTGTCAAACACCAAGCGGTCACCGGTGACCGCGACCTATTGTTCTTTAATTGTGTCTATAAAACCGGTACTCGACGAGTTAAATAACTTACATTACTTAAACAGCTTAGGTAAGTTTTCCAGTCTAGATCTAGAGGTATTTTCAGCCATGATCGTCCTACTGCACGGCAAAGGCCTCTCTACCCTCCTTCCACTCCTCTAGACTAAAATCTTTACATAGAAAGCTATTGGAAATACTGGAAATTATGGTAAACCCCCTCGAAAGAGGTATTTGTTCAACCATAAAGTTTAAGGTCAAAATCAGCCTTACAACCAGTCAACAACCATAAAATTGTATGTATATTAAAGCATTATAATCCAATTTTGATTAACAATACAAAACACACAACAGCACATCAATTTACCAATTTCCTTTAATACATTATCAACTTTACTCTTTTGTAATAAAAGTCGAAAATCTTTTGCAGAAGTTTTTCAATAAGGGTAGCTTGATCTGCTGCCTATTGTACGTAGCATACTCTCTATGGATGGCCTTTTAAATGATAATGCTCGTATTTGCCAATTATACACTAGAATGTAGTATGAGTTTAAAAAAAAAGTTCAGTAGGTAGTAGCACGGAAGTTGGAATTGTGGCCGGTGTATGGCAATAGGCTCACCCCCTATTACATGTGACTCATAACATAAATAGTGAAAAGTGGGTGTTACATTGTACAGTGGCATTAAGTGTAGTAATGTGCACCTCAGCTATCCCTTCGGAGATAAAAGACGTGATGTTATGTTAATGTATTTAACAGTGACCTCATACAGCTGTGTTATAAAATAAATTTGTCTCAGTGTTCCCGCTGATGTCATAAGAGCCTACCAAGAGAATACTCCCCTATAACACATTCTATATTAAACTTACTGTTTGGACTACTCATTGGATGCTACCGCTCTTTTCTCCACTAGATGGCGCAAATCTATAAAGAGAATTTTTTGTTCAAGCAATGCAACTGTCAAATAAAAAACATCCAATGGTATGGCACTAGCTAATTCCCTATTGGACGAAGAACGAGAGGTTGACACTGGCACCATCTGTTGAATGACAATATAGTAGCCCACTTTGACAATGATTGGGAAGTAGCAACCTATCTTACCTATATTAAAAACTAGCTTTTACCCGCGGCTTCGCTCGCGTCACAAAAGGATAAAAAGTAGCCTATGTGACATATACCAATATACACAGCGCCATCTATACCAACAATTTAGTTTTCCCTCATTAAATTTTTCCGGGATAAAAAGTACCCTATTATTTAATCCAGACTTCTAACTTCACGTCTGCAAAAATTCAAAGCAATCGGTTTAGTAGTTACGACGTGAAAGTGGAACAAACAAATGATCCTTTTAAACTGCAATTTCTAACTAACACCACGCAAGCGTTGTTTCTCGCTGATCTTTTTACTATACTATAACTATGCCACTGATTCACAAAGACTTGTGTAAACATTACGTAAATCACACATTTATATATTATTGTAAACGTCATGCGTCACTTATAAAGCATTTAGGTATATTCTACAATTTAATCGATCTATAAAAACAAAGTCGTGTGTACGATCTACACTATCTATTTGCATCTAACTCTAGATCACCCACACAGCATATCCATCCCCATCATATAGATGGTTGGCAGGCCACATCTGTGCGCTTGTCTCGTAGCTTTCTGCCTCGCTCAGCAAAACTGTGGAATGATCTGTCGTTGCCGGTATTTCCGAACTGATAATACTTTCAAACCTTCAAGAAAAGAGCGTATTCCTTTTTAAAACGCCCCCAACGTACCTGTGACTCCTCTGGTGTTGCGGGTGTCCATGGGTGGCACTGATCGCTTACCATCAGGTGTTCCGTCTGCTCGTTTGCTTCCTATTCCATAAAAATAGTCTAATTCTTACTCTACACAAGTCACTATACTTGTAGCAACACAAGTTTCATAAAATTAAATTACACCGCTAAAAATATTATTTTTCATTTCCAGAAGCTAATCTTCTTCTTCACGGCCATCCTATCAACGGCATCCACGGAAAAGTGTTACGGCGTAGTCTTCAATAGAAAATGCTATGAAATCGACATTTTGAAAGAAGGCATCAACAACATCCATCAGCTAGCGTTGAATGACAATGATAATACGCTATATTTCACGTTCGATCAAATCGCCAAAGAACCTATGAGAGGACTTGCTTTCTTCAACCTTGACACTAAAGCCACAGGAATCATAGAAGGTGTACGAAATGCCTCAGGAGTTACAGTAGACCAAAGAAGAAACAGGGTCTACGTCGGCGGAGCAGACGGTCTATTCTTCTTAAACGATAACAAAGTACCAGAACAGCTACCAGCTAAGGACAACATACAATATTTATACTTCAAAGATGTTATTTTCTTCGTAAACAAACGGAGAGAGGCATACAGATTTGACTATGGTGTTGTTAGTCCGTTGCAAGAAGTCCAAGGGATAGCTATAGACAAGTTAATAGTTGATGATGAGTACAACATGTTTTTCTTGCAAAATAGAAAACTGTTCAGGGTTAAACTGGGTACCAGAGCGATAAACACTCACGAAAGATTTACAGTTGATACCATAACCACTGATTTTAATTATAAACCATTTATTAGTACTACCAATGGACTTTATGTTTACAATAAGTATAAGTATGCGTTAGACAAAGTTTCTACAATTGTTGATTTGAAAGAGTTAGTGTTTAATCGTCTAGGGGAACCGATTTATGTAGTAGAGGATCATTTGATTAAGTTAAAGAACCCTGTGACTTATTTACATGATTGATAAGATTGTTATTTCTGTGTCTTGAGCAATAATAGTTATTTATTTATTTATAAACATATTTGTTTCATTGCGCAATCTCCTTGCCCTTTCGAAGGGTCAATATCAATTCATTAAATCGCTGGTACAGGAAAAATATACACAATTGATCGATGTTCATTATCAGTAAAATGCGTAATGACAATAATTCAGTATTGTGTCTACATGGTAATAAATTAGGTACTTTATTACATAACATCACGCCTTTTAGCCTCTAAGGGGTGCGCCGAGGTGCACATTACGGCACTTTTCACAATGTAACATCCACTTTTCACTATTTATGTTACGAGTCCCATGTGAGTTGGGGTGAGACGTAATAGGGGTACTTTATATGGCAAATAAATACATAAGTACGTATTATTTTGTTATTGCTAGCTCAGTCAGTGGCGTACTATAGGCTCTCCTATTGTTTGTACCTATGTCCAGAAATGGACGAAAACAGGCTGATGATGATGATTTATGGCGATTATTAGTTCCACCAACTGTCGCAAATCTTTTTGAACCTATGTGAATGGAAACCTATTTGAATCTGAACTTAAGCAATCATATTTTTTAGTTTTTTCTTTATTGTGCTGCATTAGGTAGGAATTTTTTCGCCGTTTTTCAATTTAACCCTAAGGTTGACTGGGAGAGAATGCCATTATGGCATTAATGTCCGCCTTATGTACCATTACTTGTTTCTGTGTACATTAAAGTTCAAAAAAAATAAAAAATAAGTTGGTACTTGTACTTCCCTATTTTCCTGGGATTCACTATGCTTTCTCACACCTCCTTCGTAAATATACTCTGCCATAAAGGTCATTAAAAATAATTTTAGTTTTCAATTTTTTGATCTATGGTATTTTAATGGCTTCCTTGACATTGACGGCAGGATGGTTTCCGAGAACTTCGATGAATAAAATAATGGAAAAGTCCCTTTGCCCCCACGACAATGTTATTTGAGGAGGACTTGTGATACAAAACATAATATTCTTTGAAGATTTTACTTTTTATGAGCTGTTCATATTTATTCTACAATCGGAAAAGATAAACTTTTACCATAAAGATGTTGATAAGGGTAAGTGTAAATATAACAAGCAATTAATTATGGACATTATAAGTATACAGAACGGATATGAATGTGACCGTCTGTAGAGGGCGCCTTAGACGATCATACATCGACCATATTGGCGATATATTAAAGAAGGGCCAAATAATAAGTACCCTTAACCGACGAGGCATGCATGAAAATACGGATGACTGTTGATGAAGCGAAAGAGGTATGTAGGAATCGTAGCAATTGACGTTCCATAGTCTCTGCCATGGGAGACAGGCTATCTATATACGAAATGATGAACATAACATCTACTCTTACAAGCAGTAGAGAGAGTGCGGTTTCAGGGGGGGCGATCATCACATTACTACTCCTATACTGGGTAAGGAGAGGGAGTGACAGACGCTAAGGCAAGATGCGCCGCGTTAACGTGACCAGGATGAACAGCTAACTTTACTGGAAGACCGGTCACTTAAAAATGGAAAAAATGTTCAAGGTTTAATCAAAATAAAACTTCTTTGCTTTATTCTATTGAATTTAGCTATAACCAAAAATTCCAGTTGTCCAAAATGATACCATTGATGTGGCGCATCAGACGGCCGATGCTGGTCGTTCTACTGTTGATGTGCATCAGCCCAATCATCTTCATCAGTATAGACCAAGCCACAGGGGTCATCAAGGATGCACGTGACACTAACAAGTATGTGACCATTTTGGCTTAGTGCCGTTTAGTATCAAGGATCCTCTGCTTAGCTAAGATAGGGGACACTTTTTGTCAATTTAGATTTCATCAATCTTTAAGTGACTCCCATCTATATTGAAACTAACTAGGTAGTTTTACTGCTCTTACTAAGTAAAACTAACTATACTCGGAATTTCAATTCGATTCCAGATTTGACAATTTCAGTGTTGCAACGTTATGACAAGTACTAAATAGTGACGTTGCGAAATTATTCGATATGGAAATAGAATATTTCTGGATCGATTCTTCTCGTTTATAATTTTACTCTCGTAAACTAAGTTTATCAGGAAATTTCTAAACCCATAATTTGGTTTTGACGATTAATTAACGATCTGAGACTTTTCTTTTATAATTGTATGTGAAATAAATAAAAAAATGTGACCATGAAGGAACATATCAAAAAAATCAGACAGATGTATTATGGTAATAATTTATTTTATAAATTGTCGCCGTCTTCGCTATCGCTATCGCTGTCACTTTCTGTAACATTTATTATAAATGTGTCTGTGATATTGTCAATTAACATATCTAGCCTATCTGATTGTTTATCGATTTTTGTGTTCATCACTACTATTAAATGTGGTATCATTATTTCACAAAATGACAGTAGCTAATGGCAAATCTGGAATCGAATTAAAATTCTGACTAAGGTAGCTTTACTGCTCTTACCAAGTGACTCTAAGTAAGGAGGTCCTTATCTATATAGATGGGAGTCACTTAAAGGTTGATGAAATCCAAATTAAAGAACAGTAAAACTAACTAGGTTTAGAGGTCATTGGTGAATTCAGTCATTATTCTTTTGTTGTGAAAACCAACTAAGAAACTATACAGAATGCTGTCAGCAGCTAGGTGATTCTGCAACTGTCAATGTATCTTTCGGTGTGAGCTCGATTGCATCTCGCCCGTCATTGGTCGAGATGATTGAAAGTAACAGAATATTTTTTATTATTTTTATTGTATAGGCTACGTCAGCTCCATCGTAACCCAAACTTATCTCTCCATAAACATTTTCAATTAATTAAAAATATTATTACCAGCGGTTTATCACTGTTGCAATATCATAGTTACAGAATAGCACCACTTTCTTATTAGCCGCACTGTCTGGAGGTAAGCGTGGAGGTAATGACCAATCCCTCCTATTCAGACAAGGCCTATAGTCCAGTAATGTACCGTCAATAACTAAGGATTGTTGATGTGATGTGGTCCATGTGGTTGATGCTGACTATTTTGTAGGCGTCCTTTTTTTATTTTATGGAATAGGAGGCAAACGATCAGACGGATCGCCTGATGGTAAGCCATCAGCGCCGCCCATGGACACCCACAACACCAGAGGAGTCACAGGTGCATCCGGCCTTTTAAAAAGGAATACGCTCTTTTCTTGAAGGTTACTAACTTCTTTCAGCAAGAAGTAGACAACTTTATATTGATTTTGGCATCACTGCCTCGTTGGCAGAGTGGTCGCAGGTACGCCTGCTGAGCAAGGGGTATCGGGTTCGATTCCCGGATCGAGCAAAATATTGTAGGTTTTAAAAAAAAATCTCAGTAGTACCACGGAGCCTCGTATTGCGACCGGTTTATGACAATAGGCTTACCCCCTATTACATGGAACTTATTACATAAATAATGAAATGTGGGTGGTAGATTGACATTAAGTGCCGTAATGGGCACCTTTGCCTACTCCTTCGGGGATAAAAGACGTGATGTACTCACTATTACACTAACTTCTCATTTTTTACAGACACGGCAAAAAACATAAAGTAAAGGACAAACCCCTCTTTAATTTGAACAAGGATGTGAATTTAAATTTTGATAAAGGTTGCAAGATTCCACATTTAAATCCATTTTTAGCAGGAATGGAAAGTAATATCGCAAAACCACAGTACAAATGTAAAGGCTTTGATTGGGTTAAATGTCATGTAAGTAATTATGAAAAATGTAACTCAACTAGACAAATAAAAATACGGTTTACTCAAGTGCAATATTCGAGGAAAGCTCTATTAATTTCAAGACACATCGGGACTTTTATTCATGAGCAGCATGCACGACGCGTGGTGACGACGCGACGTCGCGCAGTGAACTGAAACCTTAGAACGATTTTGTTTTATGCTGCATCCACACTCTCGCGTTAGTCGAGACGAGGCCGAGATACATTGACGTTATTATAGATGAGTTGTAGTCCTTCTCGCATTATAAGACTGTAATGTATCTCGGCCTCGTCTCGACTCACGCGAGAGTGTGGATGCAGCATTACGTTTAAAGTAATGCGGTCTCGTTTCGCGAGCGTTCGGCGCTGTGATTGGCTTGGTTCATTAGAACCGGCCAATCAGAGCGCTGAACTCGTATTCGTTTCGATTATTTTAAAGGTAAAACAAATTCATACTTTAGCCTCTGAGCACCTAGCTAGGCTATTCTGTAACATTCAATTGAAAAGATTGAAGTGAACTCGTTCGGAGTCCGCCATGTCATTGGTTGTGAGAATAATCCCGACCAATGACGGGCGAGAATGCGATCGAGCTCACTTCGAGAGCTAGAATAGTATGTCTCACGATAGTTGTTAAAAAAGAGAAATATAGGCAATTAGCGGTTTTATGATTTTAATACCTAAGCTTTAAAACCAACTAAGTAGTGTTACTTATTCGTATGAATGGCTGTACGACGGTCATCAGTCGGTGTCCGTCCACTACTGGTAGGCTGTTTTAACTGGACGGTCATCAGTTCTTTGCATCCAGCCACAACAGTCAAGCAGGTGATGTAGTGTCACTCCACCTAGCTGAAGGACTAGTGACTTCAGTTCCGAGTAAAGTTCCTGAAAGGAGGCGTAAAAGGATGGATGCGTAGTAGGGTCTTTTTTTAAAGTAGAAGAATCATAAAATGGCTGCTCCCGCTTTTGGTGAGGCGAGAAGGAGTGTCAGCATCTTACTAACTATTGACTAAACACTACCCCTTTCCTTGTCGCGGGGAACCTAACGGGTAACCGGGGCTCCGGCTCGACGTGCAGGAGAAGAAACGGGGTGGTTTTTAGTCAGTAAGAGTCTGACACTCCCTCCCGCCTCACCCAGGCGGGAGCAGTCATTCGATGATTTTCCCCCCTTAAAAAAAATCCTTTCCTTCATCTCCTGTAATTCGGAGCTCTAGTACCCCGCTACGTTGTCCCCAACTCTAAGATGCGTAGTAGGGCCTAAGGTGGTAATATTATGATCTTGTTTTCCAGAAATCAGAATGCCGTCTCGTAAAAGATGTCCTGAAAAATGTAAAAGACGTGACCTGTGATTACAGTAACATAAACTATGTTAACCATAGAAACTATTACTATAGTTATCTCAAAGTGTGACTGGAGATGAGGCGGTGACTCTGGATAAAAGTGATCATGTTAAAATAGAGTGTACGGGCAGAGATCTACATTTGTATGTATAATTAAATCCTCTAACGTAGTCAGAATTTGGTAACTTTTATCGTCAGCAATACTTTTCTTTCTTTGGTTTCTGAAGTATGAAGATCATAGTGTTGGAGGCACCATGGAGTACCTTTATCATCTAGGTTACCGTAGCACACTTCTTCTTTACCGTTAACTCATTAAACTCTTGGCGGCGTAGTGGTCGTCATTTCTGGTGTGATCAGCTTTACAAACTAAGTCTGCACTCTTTTATGCATTTATGAAACCGTCTATTTGATTCCATTTTTAATTTGATCTGCACATCAGCCGATTTGTCGCAAGTGCGACTGCCTGCGGGTTGGGAAAAGTACATCTGGGTTTTAAAAAAAATCTCAGTAGTAGCACGAAGTCTGGAATTGTGCACTGTATATGGCAATACGCTCATCCCCTATTACATGGGACTCATAACATAAATAGAGAAAAGTGGGTGTTACATTGTACAGTGGCATTAAGTGTCGTAATGTGCCATCACTGTTATGTGTATGTTATGGTACATCGGGTGACCAGCGACCAAATTAATATTTACTTTTTCTTTTTTTCTATTAAGTCCTAATGTAAGTGTCCACTGGAGAGGTGTGAAGACTGGCTTCCGGAATATATCGCTGGAGCCAGACGATAAACACTTGTACAACGTAGTAATTCTCTGCTTAGAATCCGTCTCTCACAGCGGATTTATAAGAAATATGAAGAAAAGTTACAAATATATCAGTGAAAAGATGAAAGCTACGATTTTGAATGGGTGAGTCGGTTGTAGAAATGAGAAAACAATATCCTAGCTTACTAAAGTAAAGCTGAATCGTACATTTCTGTTCCATATCCACGATAAACAGTCTTTTGTGTTTATGTGATTTTCAACAATAAATATAGAAATTTTTGTGAAGCTGCGAGTGAAAGTAGTTAGGTATATAAATATATTAATGATATTTCAATACTGGTAACTGAATGTCTAATAGACAGTAAAGCCGAAACTAAATGATTGTACAAATTGACAAATTACTGATTCTTTAACAAGAATAGGGTCTTTTTTTAAAGGGGGGAAAATAATCGAATCACTTCTCCTGCTTGGGTGAGGCGGGAGGTAGTGTCAGGCTCTTGCTGACTAAAAACCACCCCGTTCCTTCTCCTGCACTTTGAGTCGGAGCCCCGGTAACCCGTTAGGTTCTCCGCGACAAGTGTAGGGTCTAAGACAGAGATTTCCAACCAGATGACCTTATAGCCTTTATAGCTTTGTACCTTTATAGCTTATATCTAAACAAACAAATTATTTTAAGATATATTATACATATTTCAGTTACAATATTGCGAGCGATGGTACTACTGGAACTCTTTATCCTCTACTCACAGGCAAATCCGAGTTTGACTTAAAAGATCCAAATGAACTGGGAACATCACGTGACAATCCCAACGATTTTATTTTTAACCTGATAAAAGAGCATGGGTGAGTTTCAATAACAGCCTTTAACAATAACTTTGTGAAATTGTATGTTTATAAACATACAATTTTATGACATATTTTAATCGAAGCGAGGGCAGGCCTCCCGCTAGGTGGACCGACGACATCGCCAGAATTGCGAGGAGTCAGTGGATGCAGGTGGCGAGTTGTCGTTCGTTCGACGTGGAGGACTAAGGGGGAGGCCTTTGTCCAGCAGTGGACGTCTTCCGGCTGTTGATGATGATGTTTATAAACGCACCAACGAGGCCACGACATAAAAGAAGAAAGTACTACTGTGGGGCAAGCTTTTTTAACAATTCACTACTGGACTACAGACTTTTTCTAAGTAAAAAGTATTTTCCACGTGGAAAATAAAGTTCACAAATTAAAGGTTCAGGTTTATAAGAGACCTGCTGCCTGTCCCTTAGTCGGCGCTTACGAAAACCGAAGGGAAAAGGGATGATGACAGAGGTGTCATCCTCGAATAATCATTCAAGTAATTCTAATAAGTAAGTCGTCCTAAGTTCGCCTGCAACAACAGACGCATCACTAGACGACCTGGCAGAAATATATAAACTCTCGATATCACTAGACGACCTGGCAGAAATATATAAACTCTCGATTGCCTCCAAAAAAAATTAAGAGCAATCCTTTCGCGAAATTCGTCGGGCATCGAGTGACCGGATAGAAAACTAACGTGTTGAATGCATAGTTTATCATACCCCAAAATTATAACATTACGTAATGAGTTTGGTGCTCCAAACGCTCATTTACTAGTCTTACGGCACTAGTAGTCACTTCTTCTATGAGAGGGTGGTACTTCTTTGGTCAAGCCGACCCATTAAAGTCGCATATTCAAGTAGCTGATGTCTGTCATGAATTACCATCACCACTAACAAAACTTCTACCACTTTATTTGTCTTTTTTTATCAGGTACAGAACAGCGTATTTCGACGATACGGGCTTGGTATCAACACCTTACCAGTTTAAGTTTCCGAGCCCTCCAGCTGACCATTACCTCCGTCCGTATTCCTTGGCCCGCCGCAATGGGAAACCACAACGTTCACTCTCCCATCACTGCATAGAATCTGTACCTCAATACCAGATGCTGATGCATTTAGTTGAAGACGTACGTACTGTAGTCCATTATTTCCGTATTGACACGATTGCCAAGTAAAATGGTGATTTTTTTTTTGCTGCTTTGATATGTCAGCGAATTTCGAGTACACTTATAGCATAGCATAACATACATACATTAAGCCAAGAATATACTAGGGCACAAATATCGTGCAACACGTGTCGCCAACTACATCAAGTGAAGTAGTGCGACGTTGCCGGACTTCGCTCGGCATGTCTGGCAACATCGCAAGTAATGCGACTGCCTTGTGAAACAAAACTTCGTGTTGTCGCCAGATATGTCAGGCGAAGTTTCGCAAAGTCACACGATATGTCACCGATACATGTTGTGGCACATTTATTGTTCCCTAGTATATCCTTAGCTTTACCGACACACCGGCTTTATTGTCCAATATCTGTCAAATGTGTAGTCCCGAAGTCGTATCTCATACATGCTGGAAGAGTCTGTGGTTATTAATGTATTCTTCTCTCCCCTTCTACTTTCCCGTTGGCCTCTGCACGTGTGTCTTTGTGAAATAACAGGCTTGATGCACCGTGTTATTTCCTAAAGATCTTATTAAATTCTCATATCTACTCTATATTGTAACAATCTTCTTTCAGTGCCTACAGCTAGAAGGAAAGAAGTTTATATTCAGCGTAATAGATGACCTATCGTATGCGAACTACACGTTTATTCCATCAGCTGATGATAGTTTGCTAGATTTTCTTAAGACGATGACGGCACGAAAAGTTTTAGAAGACACTTTGTTGATCGTTACGGGAGACCATGGACCTAGGTGAGAACAGGAAAAATACGTACACTTTTGGAGCTCATAGGAGATCTTCTAAAGTATCTCAGAGTAAGGTCCTTTTAGCCAATTTAAATAGATGTTTTTATAATAACTATCGTGAGACATACTAAATTAAGTAAAAACGCGGGTTACTCACTTGAATATACTGAGAAAAGCTCTACTAGTTTCGAACCACAGAGGGTTTCTTCCTCATGAGCAATGTGCGCGGTCGCGGCGACGTCGCGCAGCTCACTGCTCTTCACGTGAGCAACCCGCATTTTTACTTAATTTAAATAGATATTTATAGAAGGTACTTAATGCTCGTGTTGAAATTTTTCTACTAGACCTATCTTTGTCTAATTCTGTACTTATACTTTTACTTAATTCGTTTTTGTTTACCTTTAATTCAATTTTCAAATCGAATTAGGAGGATTGATCTACTGAAATTTTCAAAATCATAATGGTATCAGTTGGCGTAGCGCCCAGCTTAACCTTCATACCAAACCATTTGACTCTTTTCTTACTTATCTAGATACTCGCCAGGCAGGAGCTCTCATCAGGGTATGTTAGAAGAAAGACTTCCCTTCATGGCCATGATGCTGCCTCAAAAACTGGTAAAAGCTAAACCATCGGCTTTGAAGGCTTTAGTGAGCAACAAGGATGTCTTGACAACACCTTTTGATATTTACGTAACGATGTTAGACGTACTAGGAGTTGAGGAAGAGGGACCGCCACTTGGAATGCCAGGGTTTAACATGCCAAGAGCATTGAGCTTGTTGACACCAGTAAGAACTAATTTTCTGCTTTTGCTTTGGTCTTATCAACTTATATTATTATTATTTTATTATGTTTAACGACTTACTAACATAACTGTTAGAACTCGACTAGTCGCTAAGGGCTCATATTCATAAGCAGCTTTACACGACATACGATGCGACGCGGCAAACGTCGCGTAGCTCCTATTTTGACTTGAAACTATAATTCAGTAATTAGATAGTTCTGCTTGGAATGTTAATCAATAATTTTGTAGATTTTGATGTACGGTCAAAGGTCAAAAGGTCCACTGCCACTGTAAGACTACTATCGGTTGTGCTGCAGCGCTTAAACACACATGCACACGCATATTTTTCGTTTATGCGTGCGCACGCGTTTTTATGCACATTAATATGAAATTACTTTCGCATTGCCGTGTGAACATCACTCACGGTGGCAGTGGACTTTTGACCTATGACTGTACATAGTCTTTCCGATGTCTATTTCGCAACTTAGTATGTACATGTGTACGCCGCGTGCGCCCTGCCACATAACCATACGTAACCACACACGTCTTGTTTTCCTGTCCACATACGCTTTGTGTCATGGGCCTTAGGTTATTATTGTCTTTCTACCTCCAGATACCAAAGACCCGTACGTGTGGAGAGGCTGGTATCATGCCACATTGGTGCACGTGTGGGACTTGGACCAACGTGTCCAAAACGAACCCATTCTACCATCAAGTTGCGAATAATCTTGCAGAGTTCATAAACAGCTTGAGCGATGAGGAACGGTGAGATTTATCTAATCACCGATTATTTAATCTATGATTTGTTTTAAAAGATAGTTAATAAAATGCAACTGTATCCATAAAGTTATTATTGCGCCTTCGCCTTACACACTTATATCTTCCTTCTTTATTATTATGAATGCGAAAGTTTGTGAATGAATTTGTGTATGTTTCTTACTGAATCACGCCAAAATGGCTGAAGGTGGAGGTAGATTACGCTCTGAAGAAACACAAAGGCTACTTTGTGAGCGAAATCACTGACAGAAGCTGGTATTTTATACAGGGTATACAATAAAAGGGTGGGCTGATGCCGATACGGGGCCGCTGAGAACTTAACGGGTTACCGGGGCTCCGGCCCGAAGTGTAGGAGTAGGAGTGGTTTTTAGTCAGTAAGAGTCTGACACTCCCTTCCGCCTCACCCATACGGGAGAAGCCATTCGAAGATTTTGATTTTACCCCTAAAAAATACAATAAAAGGGTCAATTTTTTTCTTAGTTGGTAACAATTACCATCATCTGGTAGTTAAAGTTCAATGCTGGACTATGAATCTCCTCAGCAAAAGACGGGGCGACACTGTGTGTGTGAGTGAGTGAGGAGTAGTTAATAATGCAAGTATAAGATTTATTTACTTATAACATGTTTTTTTAAATATTTCAGATTCCAATGTTTACAAAGGACTCTAAAAACTACGGAATGGGTCGTGCATCAGACTGCCGCAGATTACCAATCCAAACTGTACAATTATTTCCAGAAACAGCAGTTGTCTATTAATCAAGCGCATTCTGGCGATGTAACGTCTCTCGATGACTATTATCAACTTAGGGTAACTATACAACACTATTTGGAGCAAAGACATGGAGCCACTATCGTTTTTACTTTTCCATTTCTTGATAAATATTTTCTAATACAAGTACTTTATTCATTGGTAACGTATCACTACATAGTATAAAACAAAGTCGCTATCTGCCGTCTGTCCGTCCCTATGTATGTATGCTTAGATCTTTAAAACTACGCAACAGATTTTGATGCGGTTTTTTAAATAGATAGAGTGATTCTTAAGGAATGTTTGTGTGTATAATACATACATATTGCACCCGTGTGAAGCTGGGCCGTGTCGCTAGTGTAGTATAAAAGGCAATTTAGTTAGTTACTTTTAAGAGCATTTTAATTAAAAATTACTTGGTCTGAGGGGCTCTTCCTTATGAGCAGCATGCGGCGATATCGCGCAGCCTTCTGCTTTTTTAGCTCTTCTGCGATTTTTGGTTAATTTAGGATGTCTCACGATAGTTATTATAAGAGCATTTTGTTGTAAAAGGATTTTTTTTTGAAATTATAGAGAGAATGAAATAATGAAAAATATCTCTAGTGGCTTCTTCTTTGCTCCCAAGTTAAATATCCACGCAATACGATTGTAATGAGCGCTAGTGTTGCAACTTGAGGGTACTCCTTTTTAAAAGGCCGGCAACGCACCTGTGACTCCTCTGGTGTTGCGGGTGTCCATGGGCGGCGCTGATCGCTTACCATCAGGTGATCCGTCTGCTCGTTTGCCTATTCCATAAAAAAAACTGAAGAGTACGAAATTGGTTACTTGCCTTAATCGAAATTCAATTATTTCGACTGTTCAATACAATAAAATATAAAAAAATAATCACACTTTCATTAATTGATTTAAGTATTTTCCTAGCAAATTTTTTAAGAAATAAGTATGCTGTTTGACGGTGAAAGAACGTGACGTCACAATACACAATCTCGTACAAAATTCTTAGAAAGCTGTCGTTTTTTCGAAAAAAGTATTGAAATTGACTAGTGTGCAAGTATCCAGTTTCACAATACCTAAGTAGATCGATCGGAATTGGATTCCTAGGCACTTACATAGTTTTCCTTAGGGATAATACAGTATACAGTTCCTGTATGAGACAATTAAATCCCATGAACGTTATATGGAGCTGAAAACATTATTACAAGTAGCTCATAATAGGCATTACATTTAACGTGAACCTATATGTCTTTCAGATTGTAATGGAACCTGGCCACGCCATATACGAAGGCACTATGATCTATATTCCTGCCAAAGATTTCTTTATGATAACCGAGAGGGATGTATCCAGAGTTAACGCGTAAGTTTTTAATGGAGGCTATCGAATTTTTAATCCCAAAATGCTCCGTGACGTATCGTCTGGCAAGCGAGCAATTCGCTTGCCAGGCGACGCCGCCCGCACTGCCGGTTTATGCATGATGTTTTTCTGGAACTACCCGTAACTTACCTCACATTTATTATAATAGTAGGCAGATTTTTATAACTGGTTACGTTTTGTAACTTATATATTTTAAATAGGGAGTGCCTCCGCTGCCGGCGCCGGTTGCCGGACTGGCTGCCGGCGCCGGTTGCCGGACTAGCTGCCGGCGCCAGTAGCCTATTCGATAACCGGCCCTAACCTAACCTAACCTAAGAAAAAAAAAACTAACCTAACCTATATTCGTCACCGACTTTCATTTTTCCAAACCGTAACGATAAACGTAAGACAAACAGAATAAATACAACAAACAGCACAAACTAATGAAACTAAATAAAGAACAAAGTCGAATCTTTGAGGTTATGTTTTTTTTATATTTGTTTACCAGCACTGAACCCAGCCTTTTGCGCATTGTCACCGGCTGCCATTTTGAGTGCCGGCGCCGGCAGCCGTTGTTTTAAATCTCGGCTGCCGGCAGTATACTTACCGCCGGTTTCCAATAGTGATATTTTTGGCAACCGGCGCCGGCAGCGGAGGCACTCCCTTTTAAATATTATGTGGGTCCATTCTAAGACCTTCACATACCACTTACTTATACCTATATTCAAGTTAATATCAGTGTAAAATTAATATTTAATAACAATATGTTTTAATGTTTATAAAGGCGGTTGACAGCCTGTGTAACGAAATAAATTATGGTAAGTCTACAAACAGAATAAGATCGTTAGTAAACACTGATTGTAATCATAATATTTAATATTAATAAAGAACTTGAAAAATCAAACAAATTAATCCCAAAATGGCGCCAATGTAGCAAAGGTCCTGAGTGCCAAGCACGAATAACTATTGCATTCGTAACGTAATAGTATCGAGCGCGTCCGGCGCTCTGATTGGCCGGCTCAAGTGAACCAACCAATCAGAACGCTTAACTCGCTCGATACGGTTACGATACGATTGCGATAGTTATTCGTGCTTGGTACTCTGTTTGTCTAATAGAGAATCATACTAATATCCCAAATTCGAAAGTTTGTATGTTTGTTTGTTTGTTTTTTACTTCTTTACGTCAAAACCGCTGAATGGATAAAGATGAAATAACACAGGGCTCGTACACAAAACTGCGATTGTTAATTAAAATCGGGTATTAACTAGTCGACTTTTACGACATTTGCAGTAAGAAAGATGTTGACAAATGTATTGTTATTCACCACAAGGTTAACCAAACCCGGGGATTAAACACATTTTTTTTGTTCCAGGTATGGTGATGAGTCAAGTTGCATCACTGAAACTCATCCCCATTTAAGTAAATATTGCTATTGCAATAATACTGCTCATTTTATTATTCATAAAAAATATAAACCTAAAATCAGTGATGATTTGTTCAGATTTAGTTTTTTGTGAAAAAAAAACAACGATTTTTATACATATTTCTATAAAAGAAAAACTTGTAGATTTCAATAAAAATGTTTATTAAAAAATGTTGGTATAAAATACTTAAAACTATGAGTTTGTTTTTAGTAGACTATGTATTTGTAATCAATATTATATAATTATTATACGTAATTACAAAAAAGGAATTATTTGTGTGTATATTTGTTTCGAGTAGTCTCGGAAATTACTGGACCAATTTTCAAAATTGCTTCATCAACAGCTTGCTTCTCAAGGAGTAGGTAGCATCGATTTTTATTTTCCTATTTCGATTAACGATTATGTAAATACTTACATCAATACAAATACAATGGGAATGATGACAGGGTATGAAAATTAAAAACATAATTAGTTCGTAAGTTAGGTAATGGAAAAATATTAGACACGTATTTTTTTATTTTGTCGTATAATAAAACAATACTTGGATAAAACGAATCAAAGTTTAGGAGTGGGGGCTAAAACGTCATTTCTTAGTATAAAATGTACTGAGAAGTGACGTCACGCGACATTTCAAATCAATATATCTTCGAAACTATTCGTTTCTGTGAGAAAATAAAAAATACGTGTCTAATGTTTTTAAATAATCTATCAGACGGACATTAAGATAAAAATTAGTCGTCTACCCTATTTGAATTAGTCAGGTTGCCTGGCTATCCCAATAGATAAACCTGTCATGAAGTTATGGTTTTATACAACATGTAATGTAATTAACGCGCACCCTCAAACACCCCAAGTTAGAATATTATGTTATAATCATAATACATACACAACATTTTTAATTTAACATGTATATGCATCCTTACTGGTCTTGTCATAAGGTTTATTTTTCTTTATTTTGTATTGAATAATAGAATTTGTATGAATACAAATAAAACTGCGGTTTTAAAAGTCTTATTGCTTTGACTTACGGTCCATTTCGATTTGTTTTAACAATACAGGGTTAATATGACAATAATTTCCGTAGTTTTGATTATTTTTGGGATAAAAAATTACCTATACTAAAAATTATATAAATCGATTCAGTTAACGATTCTGAACAAACTATTTTCAGGATGTGCGTTATTTAAGTTACACGTTGTATAAATAAATAAAATAAACAAAAAAGTAATTTAGTTTGTCATTATGAATGAACATAGGTAAGATTGGATTTCCAAATATAAATTTTGCATTAATTCAATATTAAATTAGATTTATACACGTATAATCGGTTTCCTAAATACCTCTTTCGCTTCATCAACAGTCATCAATCGTTTCATGCATGCTAGAGGTATGTAGGAATCGTAGCAATTGGCGTTCTATAGTCTCTTCCTACCCCCTTAGGCGACAGGTGTAAAGTTATGTATACAAGGTGTAGTTTTGAAGCCGTGTCATTTCTCGGGGCATGTCACAGAAGTCATATAGGTTCAATGTAAAAGAAAGTTTCGGGCCAATAGTTAAAAATACGACTATAATAAATCGTTTAAGTTCGACAGTGTTTCAGAATAAGCGACAGCAATGTTTCTTATTGGAGTTTTATGGAATTAGGAATAATATCAATTACGTGTTTGAGTTTGTGTGTGTAAAGCCGCTTTATAAAACTAGTTACAAGACGGCGGCGTGTAGTTCGCACTTACGGATTTCCGTAATTTCAGAAAAATGAAAAATATTTACCTACAATTTTTTTTATTGATTCGGACTCAGAATATCTAGCCGAGTTACCTCCTAGAAAATGACGCGGCTTTAAAACAATACCTTGTGTACGTATGTAATCTGTTCATTTAACATAAAGAAATATTACCAAAATAAGAATAATCCAAATTATTGAAATAGGTTTAAATTAGAATCTAGTTTTAACTCTTACTGTACAAAAACGGTAACTTAAGTTTACGTACATAACAACAGTCGTTGGTTTTTGTAACCAGTTGGTTAACGGGTATAGTTAACTCAATGGTAACCGGGTGGTCCGTAAGCGGTTGTCGGCTTGTAACCCTGGTTGCCATGGAAACCGGTTAACGAACCGCTAAAATCGCTTGGCGCTGGCGCATTGTAGTTGTATCCTCCTGAAATTTTCATAAAATACTGTTATAATATTGACTGCCTTGTCAAGTGTTAGCAAGTACGACTGCCGGGCAAGATACGTCTCGGGTTAGATTCCCGGCTTAAAATAGCACGGAGTCTAGAAATGTGCCCGGTATATAACAATAGGCTCACCCCCTATTACATGGGTCTCATAACATAAATAGTGAAAAGTGGATGTTACATTGTACAGTGGCATTAAGTGCCGTAATGTGCACCTCTGCCTTCTCCTTCGGGGATAAAAGGCATGCTGTTATGTTATGTTACTATTATAATATTTTTAATCAACAAAAAATAACCGCCACATAAATGCACTAAGAACGACGATGCGCATGTTGCATAGCATTTTACAAGTTATCTACCGAAAGGAAATTGGTCATGAAAATCTGTCACTGGTTTAAGAACTTTAAAGCAAAATAGACCTTATTACAATATACATACCTTGCTTATTGTTATAAGTAGGCTCCGGGTACTTGGCTTGACCCTCGTACCTCACATCAGCGTGGAAACCTGTCTGCCAGTCAGCGTGGTATGTCACTGTAGGAGAAAAATATCATGGTTTTAATGCCCCATAAAAATAAGGACAGTTCATCATCATCATCAGCTTGTTGAAGACATCATTATATCACAACACAGCCCGTGACGACCTACTGTCTCACCACGGGCCTTCTCTACCTTTTTTTATAGCATAAGCCGATAAACGAGCAGACGGATCACCTGATGGTAAGCAATCGGCGTCGCCAATGGACACCTGGAACACCAGAGGCGTTACAAGTGCGTCACCGGCTTTTTGGGGATTAGGAGTTTGAGGATCGTTGGAGATTCAGGGATTGGGGAGATTGGGGAAGGGGAGGGTAATTGGGCCTCCGGTAACCTTACTCACACGACGAAACACAACGCAAGCGTTGCTTCACGTCGGTTTTCTGTGAGGCCGTGGTATCACTCGGTCGAGTCGGCCCATTCGTGCCGAAGCATGGCTCTCCCACACTTAAGAAGGTTTTGCCATAACTTCCACACTTTGGTAGATTGGTTGAAGATTGCAGTCAAAAAGCTTCATTGGAGACTAGGCAGTTTAAAAAAATCATTTTACCAAAAAGTACTACTGCCGTCGGTCTTTGTTAAAAATGTGCAGTTCCTTATTGAAAATCATCGAATGACTGCTCCCGCCTGGGTGAGGCGGGAGGTAGTGTCAGACTCTTACTGACTAAAAACCACCCCGTTCCTTCTCCTGCACGTCGAGCCGGAGCCCCGGTAACCCGTTAGGTTCTCCGCGACGATTCCTACGAACAACCTACTAACACGGAGAAGGTTTGAGCATTAATCACTACGCTTGCTCAATGCGGGTTGGCGATTACAAATTTATAATAGAAATTATAAGCTCAGGTTTTCTCACAATATTTTCCTTCACCATTTGTCAGGGGTGTCTGAATAATCTTATAAAGTACATATAACTGGAAAAAACACATTGGTACGTGCAGTTTCATTTCATATTACAATTAAGTTTAAATATAAAATAATAAAACTATGGTTAAGAAACTTACCAATTTGCGTCCTTCCATCAGGTAGATGTACTCGATACTCCCCACGCACCACGTTACCATCGGAACTCTCTTTGCGATCGTAGTCATTGCCTGACTGCGCATCCTTCACTGAATAACCGAACTCATAAGATTTGGGCTGCAAATTAATATAAAGATTCATGTTAGAAACAAATAGGTACTTAATCAAAATGTTACACTTTCTTCAATAATTACTTTATCAAAATGTGCTAGATCGGCAATGATTGTTGAACAAAGTCTCTTTGTACATATAATTATAATACATAGGATAGGATCATTAAAATTGTTATACAGTTTATCTCGATAAAGTGAATCATAACATAAATGTGATTATGATCTACTAAATTCCTTGACCAGTCATCGTAGGAAGGCGACACTTATCAAATAATTAAAGCCCTAATAAAAACCCAACAAGGGACGTTACAAATAAAAGGTCCAGACTATTAAATCAGTCAAGAAATTCCACTAATTCATACCACAGCTTAACGAGCTCAATTACGTTCCCACTGACCACGTAAATCCCAACACATGGAACACAGACATGAGACGACCTCTAAAATTGTTTACAACAATTTGCTCATTTACGAGAAGTCAGCTGAGCGTGCAGACAAACAGATTTACAGGACACATTAATAAAATCACTTGAAACCTTTATCACAAATGCAGAAGAACGATATTCCAATGCAAACAGAGGAAAGGACGGTAACAATGATGTTGGCAAAACTAAGATAAGTAATCAAAACATTAACAATGCCAGTGGTGAAGCTGATTCAGTTTGTGTCGCACGCTTTAAAAATGCCCAGCAAAGTGTTACTCGTGGCGATACTCGCGTGTGTGGACGCAAAGATGACGATATTTTTAACCGATACACCTATTGAAAAAATAGGAACGAGAATATACAGAAAAGAATTGCTAACGAACGCTTTTCAAAGTCCAAAAGAACTAGCGTACGACTCTTCAAGCAGAAATCTATTCTTCATGTACATGGACGACGTAGCACAGAATTCGAGGCGTGCTTTCGTTAATGTGGTAACAAAGCAAGCAATGAAAATTGAAGGGATAACAAGAAATAAAGCCACTGCAGTTGACCCAGATACAAGTGAAGTGTATTTTGGATCAGACGATGGACTATACAAATACGATCCTATATATAATGTTGCTACAAATATTGGTTTGTACAACATGAACGTTTTTAAAATAGTTATAAGGAACAATGAGATGTACTTAATCGATGCTAATGATCATATGATTTACAAGATATTCAACCGAGGGCAAACAGCTGTGAAATTTGGGAATATGAAGACCGTGATGGAATTTGAGGTGGACAATCAAAAGAATGTTCATATAGTGACTATGTGT